GGTTCTGACTCATAGCGACCCTATACAGGGTTTCCGAGGCTGAGGGAGCAGAAAGCCTCATCTTCTTCCCTCGGAACATCTGCTAGTTTTGAACTGCTGACCTTGCGATTCGCAGCCCGATTTGTAAACACTATGCTACCAGAGCCTTTGGTGCTTCATAGTTATCTTTAAAATCTCAAGTAGAATATGATTTCTGTGGTCAGGATAAATGAGAAACTTTTTGTTATTGTTGTTAGGTGCCATTGAGTCGGTACCGACTCATAGCAACCCTATGCACAACAGAACGAAACACTGGCTGATCCTGTGCCAACCTCACAATTATTGCCAGGCTTGAGCCCATTGATAATGCCACTTTGCAGAAATTACATACCCACTAATCCACTGCCATAAATCTATTCCTACTCATAGTGACTCCAGATAGGGGTTCTGATAACAAATCTCAGGAGCCGATCAGACTTATTTTTCTCTTGCAGAGTAGCTGAGTTTGACCACCGATTTTTGGACTAGCCATCCAACATCAAAACCAAAGTGCCACCAAAGCTCCTTAAAATAGGAATTCTGGGAAACGAAGTTGCCACAATATAAAACCACCACAATTCATTTATTTATATATATATATATATATATATATATATGTGTGTGTGTGTGTGTGTGTGTGTGTGTGTATATATATAAAAAAAAATTCATAACAAAAATTAACGTTTTGTTGGTTCATTTTCTATTATATACTTGAAATTTTTCTTGCTGACTTATAGGCATTCTTTATACATTAAGGAAATGAGCATAGTTTGTGTGATATGAGTTATAAATAACTTTACCAAGTTTATTGTTTTATATTGCCTTGGTTTGTGGTAGATTTTGGAGGAACAATATTTTATGGTCATATAAATTTTTTCATTTCTTGGAAATGGAGATTTTTTTAAAAGCTACAGTCTTTAACCAATGTAAATAAAGCATTTATATCCCAGATTTTCTGACTGAAATAAAGAAATATTAAAGTAAAAAATTAACATAAATGTATATTTAAAAGACACATTTAAAATTTCTAAAGGTCTGTTTTAAGTAAGGATGAATTGGTAACTTCATAGCACATCTATTTCATCATTTCTGACCTACGTATCCTAAGAACATTATCGTCCCAAATATGACACTTTCTTAGGGCATCATATTTCAATTGCCCTGGTAGTAGTGTAGAAATAAATCTTAATTTCAGTCTCTCGCTGACATTTCAGCTAGCTATTATAAATTACTTGAATTCATTTACAAGTGAATTTGATTTAAAAGCCTCTAAAAGAAGCTGATGGACAGGATATGACATGGCCAACCTCTACATTCACTAAAAAATTTAGTCATGAGTGTCTGAAATCTCTCATTATTCATTCAACTGTGACTTGCAGGAATTGCATTTAAGTGAATGAAAACTTGGTAGGTATATTATCTATGTATGTAGAAATCCCTTGTCTTTAAAAATTCCATATTAAACAACAAATAAATAAGAAAAGAAAAAAAACAACACTTTTGTTCTAATAAATTGGCCATTTTTCTCTTTTTACTTCATCCTTCTTATTTTCCTTCTTTTCTCCCTCTCTTCCTTCATTC